AACCTGAAACCCCTCAGTTGACAGGCCAACGCTCTATCCACTGAGCCAAACCGACTAGGGCTCATGTAATCTTTATATCAGTCACACTGACACTCAGCTCTTTCTAGCTTTGAGCTTTATTGGGGTGTTCCCACCTTCTTGCAAATATCACATCCATTTCAAATGCCACCTGATCCAGGAGACTTTTGTCACTTCCAGAAGTCTGAAACTTCTCATCTCTTTGACTTCCCTTAGCACTCTTTTTGCTTTGTGAAGTTTCTTTCTCATCATTTGCAAGCTTAGCTCTGGAAGAAAAGTTCGTTGGGATTAGGACTTAGCTCTTATTCATATTTGTATCCTCTGAGAACTTAGCTCCACATCTTACACATCTTACATGTAGTAGATGACACCTTAATATTTGTGAAGTTGAATTTGGTTAGGCAAGCCATTTCTTGTCTTATAGGTACAGAACAAGGGGTAATCTGTAGTTGTAAAGGGTTCTGGATCATTGAATGGAAGCTGTTCTTTCAGCAGATCATAACTGTGCAAAGCTGGTTAGTGTATCCTTTTGAGGAACAGGTTTTGTTATGTTGCTGCATTCATGTTACCATGACAACCTTAAGTTTTGGCACTTTCTGAATTTAGTGTCCTACTTAATTTCCTGCATTTGGCTCAGATAGTAAAGGGGACTTTGCAAAAGTGGTTAAATTCGGGATTTTGAGAGAGGGAGCTTACCCTGCATTGTCTGGGTGGGCTGATGTCATCTCAAGGTGTTTTGTAAGAGGGAGGCAAGAGGATCAGAGCCAGTAGTAGGAGATATGATGATGGAAGAAAGATGTTGGAGTGACATGAAGAAGGGGCCACAAGCCAAGGAATTCAGGAGTTTCCAGAAGCTGTAAAAGTCAATAAAAATTTCCCTGAAGGAATGCAGCTCTGTCTCCACCTTGATTTTATTTTACTTATTTTTTAAAATATATTTTTATTGATTTCAGAGAGGAAGGAAGGGGAGAGAAAGAGAGAAACATCAATAATGAGAGAGAATCATCACTAGGCTGTCTCCTGCTTGGACCTCCCTTGGATGGAGCCCATAACCAGGGCATGTGCCCTTGACCGGAATTGAACCCAGTACCCTTCAAGTCCGTAGGTCAACACTCTATCCACTGAGCCAACCAGCTAGGGCTGATTTGGCTTTTTTGAACTCAATATCAGGTTAACATATCACTGCAACATTTTTAGATCAAATCTATGAGTTTTTCCTGCTTTATTATCACCCACCACTCTTTCTCCTTCTACTTCCCTGCTCATTCCCAAGTACTTTAGCTTTGTGCAAAGCAAAGTAGAAAAATGGAGTACTCAGAGTGTTCAATGCAAATTTTCCTTTAAGTTCCTTTTTGCTCTTATTATAATATGCATGATAATTAAGTTTCCAGATATCTTTCCTTTCAAAAAAAAAGAATTAAAAAGTCACTTTTTCAAAGTATCTTCATTTTTTCTTCCATTCCTTTTTCATTTTTATCTATTTAAAGGATATGAAACTGATGGGTGGAAATAGTACTTGATATATTAAAAACTGTAAAAATAACATAATTTGGGCATTTTATTTTTCTGGTGTAGGAGGGTCTACTGTGAAAGTTATACATAAACATGAAACATTCCACATAGCTCTGTTTTTAAATAGATTACCATTTTTGATGAAAGTTTATATCTTGTGGCTTAAAATTGAAATAAAATCACTTGAATAAAAGCATTAGTTTGTTCCAACATTTTCACAGACACATACATTTTCTGAGGCATACCTCCCATTACCAACCTCCCTGGATACTTAGATAAAAAACAGAAATAAATTTGTGGCTAAGTTTAGTTTTTATCTTTATAGTTCTCAAAAGTTTCTCTCTCTCTCTCTCTCTCTCTCTCTCTCTCTCTCTCCCACCCTCTCTCTTTTTTGGTGTATCCCAATTCTTATGTTCAGATTTTCATTTGTTTTGCAAAATTACATTTCTTAAAGCTATCACAATCAGAAATTAAGAGATATCAGTGAAGTTTTTGTTAGTTTGTTTTATGTGGAAACATGGCCAATATTTTTTGTATTTACAACAATTTAGTTGTTCAGAAATAATAATCATAAACCTAAGTGCTGGCTATATTTTTAAAATTGTGTTTATGTGGAAGGTAACTGCTGTTGAGAAAAAAAATGTAAGATATGAGGACATTACCTTATCATGTTTTTTCCTCTCTGTCTTATCTGTTTGTGGACACTGTAAAGTCATCCATGTCTCACAATTACTCTACCACTAACTAAATGTATCTTTCATAGTCCTAATTGAGATAAAGATATAAATCATAAAAATCCAAATTCTTCTGTTTTGTTCCATATCAATGTATCACACATATAGTGTTTAAGATTTATATTCTAATCCTCCCTCTGCCCACAATATCATCCAATTGCCATAGTGGGCATCCAATGCAAATGTCCCCCTTTTGTATTTTTGGCTTTTCCATAAACCTCTTTCAGTTGTATGTTGTCAATCATAAATCTGCCACTCTTTTAGCTCTTTTATCCCCTGCAGAAAACCTTCTGGGGACATATGTAAACCTTCTGGGGACATATTAAAGTTTATTGACTTTTTTTTCTTTTTAGTTTGTTGAATATTCTTTGGTCAGTGTCTGAGTCACCTGTAGTGTTCACCAGCCTTTCAATCCTGGGGAAGTCTAGTTGAGTTAAATTCAGCTTTAACCACATTTTCCCATCTTTCAGACAGACAAAGGGAAACACTTACTGGAATGATTTTAACTCCTTGATATTTTTCCCTTGCTTTATTTAGTCCCAACCACTGTGTTCT